TCCCATGGAGCAGACTTCCCATGGTTCTCAGTTCATTGGCAAAGATGATGAATGCAGCCTAACCACTGAATCCATTTACTTGGCCCAGCTGTGGATTCAACTGTCTTTTTGTTATTAGATTTCTGAGTCATATAAATGAGATCTTCTCTAGGGACCAATTTATTAGAATTAGGGTTATCCATAAGAACGATGTCATAAAATACATTACATAATTACAGAAAACACACATACACATGTGCGTGTGCATGCGCGCGCGCACACACACACACACATACACACACATACCACCATCACCATAACTGAGGATTATAAAAAAAAGAACCACATCATTTCTTTATCACCTTCATTTTCATTTCATTTTAATGAGGCTATTGGGTTGCTTGATCTGAGTAATTCTGTAGGTATAGTTTGCCTATATTTAATTAAAATTTTTGACAGAGTCTGTCATGCTATTTTCATGGAAAGGTGGAGAGATAGACTACGCAATAGTAGAGTCACATTAATTTGGAACTGGTTGAATGGCCAGATGCAAAGAGTTTCATCAATAATTCAATACCAGCTTGAAAGGCAGTTTTTCGGGGAGTGCCCCAGCAATTTGTCCCTGACCTTATGCTACTTATTTTTTTATTATTAGTGATTAAATTAAAGAAATAGATGGAATGTTTATCAGATTTGCAAATGACAGGAGTCTAAGAAAGATAGTTAACATGTTGAATAATAAGATCCCAAAAGAAAACTCAACAGATTAAAACATTGGGGTAAAACAATAAGGTGAATTTTAAGGTTAAGGAGGTCAAAGTATGAAGTCTTATATGGGCTGAAAATTCAACTTCCCATTTTTAGGATGAAATGTATGGTTGGAGAGTAATATATCTTAAAAATAAAAAAGATCTTGGTGTTTTAAAGGATTCTACTTCAATATGATCCTCAGGCTCATATGAGTTAGCATGATTTGGAAGTTAAAAGCACCAATGCTATCATACACAGTACTTCTAGATACATGGTGTTGAGGACTAGATCAGAAATAATCCTTCTTTATTTTGCTCTGATCAGGTTACATCTGGTCATCTAGATGGCCTTTAAGATCCCTTTAAATGCAGAGATTCTATGATTCTCTTTCAAATTCTCCTTTTTGCTTTCTCCATTTTTTTAAATTCAAGAAGTAAGCTTGTTATGGTGATAGGAGAAATTATGTATTTAAGTTTAATTTAGAAGTAACCCAATTGCAGTATCAAGTTCACATTGCAAATTGAGTTTCTTAACATTAAAATATGAGCAGACAAAGAAAATACCCTGGAACCTTCAAGGAGATAGAGAGAGAGCCATTGTAGCACTTCATTTCATCTTTTTAACATTCTCTACTTCCTATAGGTTCCCTTCTGGAAGTCAGATCTCTTTAAAGAAAATGTATGCTCAAGGATAAACAAGGGAGTTTATCTAATTTTTTTTTCATACATTCTGAAATTTCCATGGTGTCCATCAGTTGGATCTTAGGATTATAGATCTAGGGTTAGAAAGAAACTTGGAGGCCAGGTAATCCAACCACCTCATTTTATTCATGAGGAATTTGATTCCCCAGACTATTAAATGACCTACCCAAGGTCACATGAATAATGATAATCACAGGTGATGTTTATCTAAGGTCTTCTAACTTCAGAGCCAGTGTTCTTTCAACTGTAGCATGCTGCCTTCCCTACATTTCTTCCAACCTTTGATTCTGTGTGCTTTCTCTGAGAAACTGTTGGAATGAGATACCATGGCTTCAACTTGACATAAAAATTCATTTTCCTTTTAAAAAATTAATTTCTTCTTAGGTTTTAATGCTTCCTAGCATTAAAAGGGCTCTTAAATGTTGTTGGATGGTTTCATTTGACTTCTTTCCTCCTTTTTCTAGCCATTGAAGTCTTCTTCTGAAGGTGGCCAAGGTGGCCTTGGGCTAGAAAAATTACAATTATGGATTTTTTGATAGACTCTTAAGTCTGATGTCTGAAAAACAGCCTCCTCCAGTAAATCAGAGAGATCCACCAGCTGGATCCAGCTGGATAGAATAGGATAATATTTTCCTGGCATTGAAAATCATGGAGACAAATTATTAAGACACAGCCAGCCTAAGAGATGTATTAAACACATACATTGGCAAATCACAGACTACTGTCGGCTACTACCTTGTGTGTGGTGTATGCGTGAGTGAATGTATGTGTGTGTTTGTGTGTGTGTGTGTGTGTGTGTGTGTGTGTGTGTGTGTGTGTGTCCTCAACTGTTTTTTGGTGGTTTTTCTATTCCAAAGAATTCTTCCCTCTCTTCAGGACCTAAAATCCAGGGATCGGGGAGGCAAAGTGCTGAACCTCTTTGTGGTTAGGTGGACATTGAATAGAGCTTTAGATCTGGCATCAGGAAGAGCTGAATTCAAATCTGATCAAAGATGCTTTGTTGTGTGAATGAACCTCAGCAAGTCACCTGACCTCTGTCTACCTCAGTTTCCTGAACTATAAAATGGAAATAATAATACCATGTACCTCTCAGTGTTGTTTATTGTGAGAATCAAAGAAGATATTTATATTGAGCTTAACATGGAGCCTCTTGTGTAGCAGGTATTTAATAAACACTTCGCTTCTTCCCCTTTTTTCATTTTAACACCAGTTTGCTCTTTATTTCCTAAAGAATATGAGCATGTGTCCTCATTGCCTATCAGCATTTGAAATGTGGCTTCTCTTTCTGTTTCATCTACATGTTTTAACAAATGAAATAAGCTAAAATATCAATTTCTAAGGCTTTTGCAAGGACCTATCTTCTAATGGGGAAAGTCAAAATGTTTATGTCAAATGGCAAGCAGCTAATGCTGGCCTCATAAATATGTAAAACTTCAGCACAGTTGAAATAATCTTTGTAAAACTGAACTACTTCTGCAGATTTTTGACAGGAGTATGAACTGTGAAGGCAAATTACTTCTACTCCTAGGTGCAAAGTTAATAGTACATACACAAGGGAGATGGAGATAAAGAAAGTAAAGCTGTGCTAGTCTCTTTTCTTTTGTCACCCACCACAAGTGTGCAATTGCCTTATCTTGTCCACACCCATCCAGCAGCCCTCTATCCACTCTCAAAAAAGTCCCTCAGTTTCTCCATCTTTCCCTTAATTTCCTTTCTGATTTCCTCCTAGCTTTTAGCCTCTTCTTTTTAGCTATTCTAAGATTCCATCCATCCTCTTCAATTCTGCCTCTCAGCTGTTTCCCAAAATCCTTATAACATGTAAGTAAAGCTTACTACACAAAACTGGAGCTGACCAATAATAGATTTTACAGTAAGTGGGTTTCAAAAGATCATCAGATTCAGGCTGCCAAACCTCCTCAACATCATCAACTCCCTATTAGAAGCCAAGCTGCTTGAAGGAATCCATTTCTTACATATACTGAATTGTCTATAGAATATCACACAGTGCCTTTTGCTCACTAAGTATTTGTAAAATGAATGAACAGATTATATATTCATAGTACATTGATAGAGGCCCACTACTCCCAAGTTACTTGTTTATCATTGCAAAATCCTGAGAGGTAGCTAACTATAAATGAATATAAAGTTACCCTTTCTACATTTGACTTTATCCATTACAGGTTCAATATAGCAAGGGACAACATAAGAAATTAAATGGGAATTTTTGAGGAGTTTTGCAGAAGCCACAGATGTCACGTGAAAGCCAGTAGATGACACAGAGCCTATGACCAAATACTTAATCCAAATTTTACAACAGGGTACTGTAAACAACCCATAAAAGAAAAAGAATTCAGATTTCTCTAGTATGAAGGGTCAGCCGAAAAAATTTTACATAGATTTTCTAGATTTCAAGGGTGTCATACTCCTAACCCTTGTGATATAGAAGGGATAACTGTATATGCATATGTAGCAATGGATTGTGGGAACGAGGGCATTGTTCCTAGAGGTAAATATCAGATTCACATAGAAGAAGGTTTGAGTCAGGACTAAGGATGCAGCTGCTCTGGAAATAATGACATCTAATTCTCTGACTGCTGCTTGGTGATTTCTGAACTGTTTTATAAGTAATTGGTGGGGTTGGAGGCAATAAGTGAAAAAACAATTTCAATATCACGTAGTATTTGTATATTAATAGCGACATTCTGGCAATGTCCTTGGATCTTTTCTTTTGTTATTTTACTTTTTTATTTTTGCTAAATATATCTAAGAGAAATTTGAAAAACTCAAAGTACAATAATAAAATGGCAAATTGTTTTATTGTTATTATCATTACTTTTATATCATATAAGCAACATTACTGAGACTATTACAACAGGAGGGGGAAAAAAGGTAGACTGGTTATTGAAGAGGAAATGATAAATATATGTGTACTCCTGAAATACTAGAAGACTAAAAGAAAGATCCCAGCACAATGGTTAGCTCCTTGCTTTAGGATTTATGAAGAAATGTATAGAACTACACAAGAAAAGAAGGCATGAAGGAATTACTACCTAAATCACTTAAGGAAGCACAGACCCTATAAGAATTTCAGTAATAATTCCCCAAAGGAGAAAGCTGACATAGTGGGGAAATAGCATTATGTGGAAAGAAGACTGGAATGGAAAACAGGAGACCTAGGGTATCTTGTCTCTTCTAAGTTATCTGAAGCATTTTTCCCTCTGGGAATCAGTTTTCTCATCTAAAAAATGGGGAGGGGGTGAGACTACAGAATCTGTAAGTCTCCTACAAATCTAGCATTTTATGACTGTCTTCTACAACTGAACATCAACTCCTTGAGGACAGCAAGTATTTCATCTTAGTAGGTGTGTGTGTGTGTGTGTGTGTGTGTGTGTGTGTGTGTGTGTGTGTGTATGTCTGTACACATATATTAGAAGATGCTATGGAAGCTCATTGGAGACATGCTTTGGAACAGGTGGGGTCATATGGTATTCCTGAAAAAGCAGAGTGTCTTCATGGACTTCATAGGAAGGAATCACAAATGACAACAGTTTGCATGTTTTATTTTCTCAGGCTTTCCTGTGGGCTACTTAATCATTTTAAAATCCTTTCTGAGGGACAGCTAGCAATGAATGTATATGCAGATGAATCTATGGGTTATGGAAATGAAGGCATTGTCCCTAGAGGTAAAGATCAGACGGAGACCTCAGGTAGGTATGTTTTAAACCTAAAATTGATGTATTACCTTTATTTTCCCCCCTAGGAACTCATACATTTATTTGTATTCTCACTGTGTCTCTTTGAGATAGATACAGGGCCCCAGGTGGGAATTTTGTACTGATAGGGACTCCAAAAATAGTTATGTCACATATAAAAACATAAGAGGAAGAGACCACTACTCTGTCTTTCCACCAATGTCATTGGCTGGCCTGATGCTAATAGACTCTATCAGGCCAGCTGTTCACTGTTTTAATTGGTTGTTCTACCACCTCTGTCTGAATTGATGCTGACTGACGGCTCTGGCAACCAGTCATGGCAGGAATACCAGAAGACCTCTCTACCTCTTCTCTTTCCCCTGATTCACATAAGAAGAAGGTTTGAGTCAGGACTAAGGATGCAGCTGTTGTAGATGCCTCTAGAAGCAATGACATCTAATTCTTTGACGGCTGCTTGGTGATTTCTGAACTGCTTTATAAGTAATTGGTGGGCTTCGGGTCAGTGAGTGAAAGAGAACAATTTCAAGCTTTATTATCCTCTACTGGGACAATACTGCCACTTTTCTCTAGTGTGCTTACAGCCCTAGACAGGGAGGAGTCACTTGTGCTATTTTTTTTTTAATAAAATGGAGAAAATAAAATACATGCCATTTTCAATAACATTAGATAAAAAAGTATTGGGGCATAATGAGAAAAGAGCTATATTTGGAGTCAGCAGAGACCCAAGTTTGAATCTAGCCTCTGACTAGTTGCAGGATAAAAGACAAATCACTTAACCTTTCTAACATCAATTTCCTCATATGTAAACTCTACTCTTCCTCACAGAGCTGTTGTAAGGATAAGATAAATAAAATGTATAGGGGCAGCTAGGTGGCGCAGTGGATAGAGCACTGGCCCTGGAGTCAGGAGGACCTGAGTTCAAATGTGACCTCAGACACATAGCACTTACAAGCTGTGTGACTCTGGGCAAGTCATTTAACCTCACTTGCATAACTAACTAAATAAATAAATGAAATGAAATAAAATACGTGAAAGCACATTGCTAAATATGAAGTTACTATATAAATGACAGTCACTACTAGGTAAAACTATTCTAAAGCCAGCCGTAGATTTCATTATCACATTGCAATTCAAATTCAACAAATAATTATTATGCTTCTACTGTATGAGAGCACTGTCCTAGATTAAGAAAACTAAACAATTTCAATGACTTGTAAGTCCCTGACTACAGAGAACTTACAGTCTAAAGATATCGAACCGAATTTCTCAGAAATATCCCTAAATTCAACATATCTAAAAAATAACTCATTTCTTCACCTTCCCTTAAAGCTATCCCTTGCCATACTTCTCTATTTATGTCAATAAATCATTCTTCAAGCAATCAGAGTTTTGTAACCTTAGAGACATCCTCAGTTCTTTACCCTCCAACTCTTGTATGTCAAAACTAGAAAGCTGTCAATTATTATGCTCTACTCCCACAGCATTTTTTCAAGTCTATCTCACTGCCTCCACACATATGACTCCCACCTTGCTTCAAGCTCTTATCACCTCATATCTAGATTATTGAAAACACCTTTTTATTATGTTTCATGCATCTGGACTCTCCACTATCCAATCCACCCCCTCAAATATGTTCTATATTGTGATTCCTAAAGCACTGATCTGATCATGTCATTCACCTGCTCAAAAATCTTCAGCAGCTCTTGCATCTAAGTTACAATGCAATGGTTTTATTTTTCTTTTCCTTTAAAGTCCTTAACAATTTGGATCAGTGGTCTGACCCACTCACCACCTGGGCAGAGAGCTCCCAAAGCTGCTGCTTTAATTGCCTCCAAGGACTTCTGCTGGAATTGCTATAGTGGGGCTCACACTAGATTCAAAATCACCCTGGGACAGACCTTTCCTGCTGACCTCCTAAGTTGGTTTGGGCTAGAAAATTGCTTCACCTAAACTTTTTTTGGCTCTTCTGCTCTAGAATTCTATTTGAGTTGTTATTTTTAAAAATTTTGGAGGGTAATTTGGGAGAGTTCATGTGAGTTCTTGCCTCTACTCCTCCATCTTGGTTCTGTTCCTCTGTCAACCCATATTGCTAGTCAAAAAGGACCTAGCAAGGAGGTTCCTTACCTTCACATGTTGCCTTTTTCATACTAAGTTGGGCAGAGAGGTTGGGTCTTTCACTAAGAAATCTGACAGTAGTTGTTGCCTTCCTACCCCACCCTCCTCCCCCAGGGCTATTGCTTCATCCCTCTGATCTTGACAATACTGCCTCCAGGATATGTCCATGTGGTTATCTTTTCTGTATTTCAAATACATATATGTCCAAAGTTAACTATATCATGCTTTCTCCCAAATCTTCCATATCTTTTGACTGATTTCTATTTTTTTTATCAGTACTACCACCATTCATTCTAAGCCCTTCAGAACCTAGTTCCCTCCTATCTTTCCAGTCTTCTTATACCTTACTTTTCAACAGATACTCTCCAATCTAGTGACACTGGCCTCTTGGCTGGTCTATGAACAAGATACTTCTCTTGGCTCCAAGTGTTCTATCTGGCTGTCTCCCATGTCTGGAAAACCTCTCATTCCTTTGCTAAAAAAAAAAAAAAAGGAGTGACAGCACTTTCAGCTACAGGAGAGTAGGAGCCCAGGTATTCCAGGAGTTCCAGGGTACAAAAAGTGCTTCTGATCATTCAAAAGGGAGTGGAAGCTCTGGTCTCAATCCAAGGCATAAAGGATCACTAGCACTAGCATCTGCAGGAGAGCAGGAGAACTGGTCATAGTTGAAGGGCCAAGAGCACTGCCTGCACTTGCATTTCAGGGGAACAAGGGACCTTCTTGGATAAATACTAGACCACAGATCAAGGGAGCAGTGACACACCTCTCCCTAGATCATAGCACCTTGGAAGCAATGAAAATCTACAGACCTCCCCCCCCCCAACCTCTTGAATTAGCTAGGAAAATAGCAGCATGAAAGGGTAAAGCTGGTGATAGTGCTCCCCTGGAAGGAAGGAAGGAAGGAAGGAAGGAAGGAAGGAAGGAAGGAAGGAAGGAAGGAAGGAAGGAAGGAAGGAAGGAAGGACTTGACCATAAAAATTTACTATGGTGACAGGGAAGATCAAGACACAAAGTCAGAAAAAGACAATGTGTCAAAACTCCTACAAGAAAAGACTCTAAGAAAAATGTGAATTGGACACAAGCCTAACAAGAAATCCTGGAAGAACTCAAAAAGGATTTTAAAAATCAAATAAGAAAGATTGAGAAAAAATGAGAAAAGAAATGGGAATGATGCAATAAAATTATGAAAATGGAGTCAACAGCTTGGTAAAAGTGTCACAAAAACTACTGAAAAAAATAACACCTTAAAAAACATAATTGGCCACATGGCAAAAGATTCATAAAAAAAATTCACTGAAGAGAAGAACTCCTTAAAAAGAATTATCTATAGGCTTACACAAAATAATAAAGAGCAAATAAGCAGAACCAAGAGAACTTTGTATATATTAAAAACAATATTGTTTTAAGAACAACTTTGAGTGACTAAGACTTGACTATTATAAATACCCAAACTAACAACAAAGATATATTAAGGATGCTGCTATCTGCATTCAGAGATAGAACTGATCAATAGAAGTATGTATAGAATGGTTTTACACACACACACACACACACACACACACACACACACACACACTTTTCCATTCATATTTGTGTTTAATGGCAGCCATATCTAAGGTGTGGGGGAAAGAAGCAAAAAGGAGAAAAAGAAAAAAAAGAGAAAGTTATATGATAACATATATTTAAAAGGAATAGTAAATTATACATAATAGATTTGCAGTTTAAATCACCTTTTTTTCTCTTGTTTCATTTCTTAAGTTCAGAACAAAATAAATTAAATTACTTTTTTTAATTTTTCAAAAAAGAAATAGCTAAATGGAAAAAAGAGATTTTAAAGGTTCACAAAAGAATCCTTAAAAAACAGAATTGGCTAAATGAAAAATAAAAGATACAAAATCTCAGTGAAGAAAATAATTCTTTCAAAATTAGAATTGGGCAAGGGGAAGCTAATTATTCCATGAGACAGCAAGAAACAATAAAACAAAATCAAAGGAATGAAAAAAATAGAAGAAAATAAAAATATTTCATTGGAAAAACAACTGACCTGGAAAACAGATCCAGGAGAGATAATTTTAAAAATTATTGGACTATCTGAAACTCATGATCAAAAAAGACCCTAGACATCATATTTCAAGAAATTTTATCAGGTAAAACTGCCGTGGAGGCAGCTAGGTGGCACAGTGGTTAGAGAACTGCTCCTGAAGTCAGGAGGACCTGAGTTCAAATCTGGCCTCAGACCAGACATTTGACACTTACTAGCTGTGTGACCCTGGGAAGTCACTTAACCCCCAATTGCCTGGAAAAAAAAAGAAAAAAAAAAGGAAAACTGCCCTGGTATCCTAGAACCAGATGGTAAAACAAAAATTGAAAGAATCCAGTGATTACCACCTGAAAGAGACTCCAAAATGAAAACTCCAAAATTCCAGAGCTCCAAAGTCAAAGAGAAAATACTTCAAGTAGCCAGAAAGAAACAATTAAAATATTATGGCACCAAAATCAAGATCACACAATATTTAGCAGCTCCCATATTAAAGGAGTAGAGGACTTAGAATATGGTATTCCAGAAAGCAAAAGGGCTAGGATTACAATCCAAGAATAACTTACCCAACAAAACTGAATATAATCCTTCAGTGGGAAAAATGGATGTTTAATGAAATAGAAGATTTTCATCCATTCCTGATAAAAAGACCAAACCTAAATAGAAAATTTGACTTCCAAATATGACTCAAGAAACATAAAATGGTAGACAAGAAAGAGTAATAATAAAGGTCTCAACAAAATTAAATTATTTACATTCCCATATGTGAAGATAATATATGTAATTTGTACCAATTTCATTATTATTACGGTAGTCAGAAGGAGCTGACATAGATAGAGAA